TGCAGATATGTGGCTTGAATATTGTGGTTGACGTTGATTTAGTGACTTTGGCAAGTTTGAGTCGTGTCAAGAAGTCAGGTAGGATTCAGTACTAGGCACTAGTGGAACGCGAGTGGTAGTCTTTGCCGATTTTTGAGGGTATCCTGGATTTGGTGTGCAGTGCTGTGGAAATGGCTTGCTGTGGACGTCCCAGCACTGGATGTTGTATCAAAGGTACGACCTCGTAGCACGTGCTAAACCTAAAAAAAATCAAAAATTGACTTGGGTCTGTGGGAGTCTGTGAGAGAACGCAAACTCGTTCCGTTTTGACAGATTCCAGGGCCACTTTGAGGGGCCCTACCCCACCACCCATGGCTGCTTGTGGACTTGTTTTAGGTGTGGATCCCGCGCACGGACAGAATGGGCACGAAAATGTGAACAAATTGTAAATGCATTCTTTTGGCTCCTGGGTGTCGCGCACACCGAGGCACTATGCTGGAATTTTGATTTTCTCCGGCCTGGAAAGCCTGTCAGCGAGGCTCAAGAACTTTTAAATCATGTCCAGAGAGCCAGCATAGTGGAAGAAGTGTGTGGTCAAACTTTCACTCAAATCCATGGAGAGACACCAAAGTTACGGTCAATTGAATGCCATATGGAATTTAGGGGTAGGCTGAACCCTTAAATAATAAAATTTACAAGCTACCTACGCTCCGCAGCCACCCGTGCACGCCAACGGCTTGGGGTCCTAAACAGAGCCGCCCACATCCTCACCTGCGCCGGCAGGTGGACCGTATCTAAGGCGTTCGTACGACCAGTCATGGAGTATGCGCCTCTTGTGTGGATGGGAGCTATGCAGAGTCACCTCCAGCGTCTGAACAATGTTCAGCGATGCGCACTGGATGCTTTCGGTCCTGGTGGACACCTAACCAGGCTGGCCATCCGCTGTACTGTTGCTTCGCTTACCTACCCGTACCAGCTGCACTGCTTGCCTGGTCCTCCGCATCTGCTCTCTGTTTGCCACAACGCAATATCCTCTTGACTAGCCCCAGAACTCGCAGCGAGCATGGTAGTGTCATTGGCCATGAGCACCAGCTAGGCATTTCCCAAATCGACCCGATTTTTCGCCTAATCAGCTTTTCTATCGGCTGAGAGAATGTCCACATTCGGCCATATTATGAGCCCCAAAGTAAGAATTCGGCTCAAAGCACTACTTGCAATCACCTATCACAGCATAGATGTAAAAAAATTGTAATCTGCAATGGACTGTCATTTAAACAGAAACAGATAAAATAATAAGGCACCCATTTTGATAGTCCAGGCCCACGCCTGGTAAAGAAAATAAATAGAGAAAAGAAAAGACGGATATTTGACAGGAAGTGCAAGTACAATGGGGATACAGGGCAAGTAGTTAGTTCTCACGACGCCAAGCCACACTGCGCAACAGCCAAAGCTGCTGACCGGTTCTGATCAACGGCAGAGGAAGAGGCTGGACGTCGATGACCACGAATGGCAGCGGCAGCTGTTCGGACGAGGGCAAAGCCCAACCTCACTCGAAGAAAGGCAATTACCGACGAGAAAGACTCTCCTATCTTATCCGCTACCATGGACGCAACCCTGCGGTAGAGAGCCTTCGCTGCTTCGCTTTGCACGCCAGTGTAACTGAGGGCGATGGGGACAAATGACACATGATCGATGTGCAAAACTCGTGCTTCGTAGCTGCGACTATTCTCCTTCTCGTGTCCGGCATAGACGGACATCAGGGAGGCGGGGTTTCGGTTTGAACGAACATAAGGGTTATACACCCGAGCATCGAAAAATGTTTGCTCAAACCCACCAGACTCCAATGGCAGCCACATCCAGCCGTGCACCTCCATAGATGTATATGTACTTTGCATGCTGTAGAGGCACTAACACATCCATTCCCGACGAATTCAGCGTTCAACATTTTCTTCAGACTTCGTAGCTCAAACTTGGTGTGAATCTACACAGGCGGCTGGGTAAAAGCCCTCTCTGTAACCCACACACTCCACCTACAAACTAGAACGACAAAATAGAGTAATAAGATATTCTTCAAAATTCTACTTTGTTGTCCCAGAGATTTGTACCGTATTGAACTTGGTCACCTACCTGCCGGGCTGTTCAACGCCACAACCAAATTACAAAACCTGTAAGTCATGTTGTGCATGTACCGAAAAAGGCATTTTTGTCGTAGTTCTGTTCTTTTGAGATGTGGCAAATGGGATTTGGGGATTTTGCATCTCGTTGATTGATCTCATTTATCCTGACCACCCTTTATGACCCGAGTCTGACGCCGCTCGTGGAAGACTTTTCCAGGTGGAACTCCGTGTTGGTAGTACTTGACAAAGTATGCTTCTGGTAGCTGTAGGGGCCATAACTCGGTAAACTCTTCCCATTACTATTTTTAATTACCTTTGCAACATTTCAATGAAATCTACACGGCCATTTTGTTTGACTATAATGCTTTTTGTCCACCACACACGTCAGCCAATATTGGAATCAGTAATCCGTGCTCCTAGGTCCTTCACATTGATTCAATATCGATTATCTAATGTTTAATGTATGAACCACATAGCTGGCTGTACAGACATTTCTCAAGTTATCTGGTGACATCTGCGCTGTGCTAACTTATTACCAACACCCAGCATATGAGTCAGTGAAAACTTGTGATCTTTCACTAGTTTTAGACATGTCATATTTCTAGCACTGAGGTAACATTTGTAGTGATAGAAATATTATCAACACCTAAGAACACAAAATTATTGTATATAACTGCTCCTTGGCAGACTTCCACTTCATACTGTATCCTGATGATGGCAATTTGCCGAAACGTTGAAAATGATTATGTGAAATGAAATGAGTTGTGAATTTGCGGTGCCCAGGGAATGAGCATGTGTGCTCACCAATTCTCTTCGAGTAAAATGAACAACAACAATAACAACAACATCTTGTCCTTCTCCTCTTTTACCATAATTTATGGTAAAAGAGGAGAAGGACAAGATGTTTGAATTCTTTATTCTCACGATAGCACCATCGCCAATAAGAGATAAATATATGAGAAGGTTAGATTGTAGGTTAAACAGTTCGAAAGTGATTTACATCACTTTTAACTTTACAAGTATGGGAGAGGGTGAGCGCTGCAGAAGCAGATTGAGTTAATCAGCAGTGAGCAGATTTCTTGTTTGAAAGCAGGTCGGGAGGAGACGTCACGAATGCTAGCAGGGAGGGCATTGTAGTATTCTAGGGACTTGTACAGTGGGGAGTCTTTACAGCGATGGGTTCTGGAGGATGGGATGTGCCAAGTGCGTGCGTGTCGAAGGCTGTACTGGGCCGTAACTTGAGCGGGGGGTGTTGAGCATGTGTATGTGTTGTGGAGCATATTGGTATTTTATGGAGTGAGCAAGAAGGGTGAGCTTAACTTTGCGGGGAGAGAACATTGTCGGCCATTTGAGCCGATGGAGCAGTGTACCCGTGTACCCGTAATAATCTGCCGACGGCCCTTCGGCTGGATAGGAATGGACGCCATATAATCAAGTAAAATTCTTAAAAATAGTTTCCAGGAAGTACTCTGCTACTTGAGGTTTGATCACGAAGATGGTAACCGGACACTAAGTCGAACGGAAATCATGCATTTGCTATGAGTCGCGACACCACATTCTCCTTTCACTCGTAAATGTATTTATCACAGTAGTCAAAGAATGACCAACCTGGCTGAGAAAGATCCAGCACGTTGGCCCAGCAGCAGCCATTTCCGGGGTAATGGACTGAAATGGAGAGTTTGCAGGATGAGCATGGCAAGCAAATGCTCTTTCATTTTTCCGTAAACTGACGAGAGGTCGCCCTTTCGCTGCGCGCAATGCCAGCTGCTTGTCTCCAAGATAGTGCACCTGTCATTGATTATTCCTTTTAAAAGGTACTTTTTACCCCAAGGACTTCTGTTTCTGCACGTATCCCCGCAAATATATCCAAGCAGGTATGTTTAAGTCCAGTGAAGTCATATGATGCCTCCGGTACATCTAGGGTAGTTGAAATTTTGGTAGTTCTAGGGTTAAGAATATGGTTCGAAGCTCCTGGCACTTGGGCTGGAGGTGTGCTGGGAATGAATTTGGGATTGAAGGGCGTGGCGTTGGGGTTAAGTTGAGGTGTTGGTCTTGGTGGACTGATTGGGTAAGCGCATGGGTTAAGCTCATTGTCCGTGTTTAACTGTGACTGAGACTTACGAGCACATGGTGATCTTGCGGCCTAGCAAACTACTGCGTGATGCAGTCCTTGCCGCCAGTTGGCCCTGCTCAAGCGCTGCAGCCTCATTGGCCCACTGGACCTGTAGGTCGGGTTGCTTGGGCATTGCAGGTGTTGTGCAAAATGTGTGCTTGCCAACTGCCAGAACAAACGCACTGGGTGGTGTGTCAGGAGACTGGTGACTGGCCTTTCCACAGACTGGTGGGTGTTTGGGAGCTGTGGGTGTTGCACTTGGTGCAGGTACCTCCATGAGCACTTCGGATACCCCAGGATAGGGCTCGATCACCGCTCCATCTGCTGGTGCCCCCGCCTGTGTGTCCACCGCTGAGGTTTCGACTGTTACGTCTGCTGCTATGGCTGGTTGGTCTGTGTTGCCGTGGTTCTTCACCTCGCGCTCGCTTTGTGGCGGAGCTTGGGAGCCGTTTATGGCATCAGAGTACGAACGTACAACCGGCTGTTGCACACTTGCTTGCTCATTATTTGGTGGAGATTTTTCGTTCTCCTATACTGAACGCTTTCCCTTTGGGCAGCGAGTAGCCAGGTGGCCTGGTGAATCACACAATCTGCAGGTCTTTGGCTGATCAGTGTATAGTACAGAGAACACATGACCACCAGGTGTCCTGACGTACGACGGAATAAACAGTGCATGGCGAGCAAGGTGGAAGCTTACATAGCGTACACCAGACGCCACCTTCAAACCTCGGCGGGTCGTTACGTGCCCATGACGTACCGTACTAGCGGCTTTCCCGTAGGACCCAAGGCTTTCAAAAATGCCTCGTCTGATATCCGTCAGCGCTGCAGATGATGCTGAAGAACTTGATCTTGTCCTCTTTGATGCGGCATTTGTCTGGGTTCAACTTGAAACCAGAATAATCGCAGCGAACCATCATCTGCTGCATGATGAGATCATGGTCCTCGTCTGACGTCCCGTATGTGACAATGTCGTCCGCGATGCCGGTGACATCTGGGCACCCTTCGAACGTCTGGTCGATCCTTGCTTGGAAGACATCTTGCGACATCTTCAGGCTGAATGGCATGCGAAGGAATCTGTAGCGCACGATTGGTGTGTTGAAGGTGGTGAGGTAACTGGATTCGTCGTCGAGCTCTACATTCCAGTACCAACACTTGACGTCGACGATCGAGAACACTTTCGCACCTCTCAACTTCGGGGTGATCTCCTCAATGGTGGAGACCACGTGGTGCTCTCGCAGGATGGCGGTCTCTAGAAGAGGACTAGCAAGTCCATGCAGGCAGCGGTACAAATACATAGTTTTGAAGTTGAGGTGTTTCTCAAGGGTGTAAAAATCATCGTATTTCCGCAAATAAATGATCGTCCTCGTATACAATGCCATGAATACAAGGCTGGGGCAGGGGCTATTGAAAAAATACAAGACCGTGTCCTCTTGAAAGACCGGGTATACTAAATCAGTCTTACAACTGTGCTCAAACTGTGGGAAAAATAGAAGACAGTGCTCAAACTGTGTAGAATAAAATGGAAGAACGGCGGTAAAACTGTGAGGCGAAAAATAGAAGATTGGGGTCAAACTGGGTTGAAAGAAGAAAAGACTGTCCTCAAATACAAGACCGTCCTCATTTATAAGGCCGGGTTAGGACGAGTTTGAAAAAAATAGTAGACCGGCCTACCATTTGCAGAAATACGGTAGTATGACTGTATAGAAGAATGGAGGAGTCATTCTATCCAACAAAAATATGCTTTCCTACCCTCTTGGACATGTTCGAACCTGAGCCTTTCAAGTTGGAAGTTTGTTGGCTTGCGCCTTGGAGAATTGTTCGAGCTAGGTGTCAGGTTGCTGAATGTCTCCGTACTCCTTGTAAGTTTCGTGCCATTTTGTCGCACTCGCTGCCTGCTTGTGATCTTGTCACGTTGGTGGACTGTTTGTCATAACTCGTAACATGTTGTTCTCTCCACTTTTACCATAATTATTAAATTGCCTCCTTAACCGAGTAAAACTATTTAAAATCATAAATTATTGTTTTATAACCGCAACCAGTAATACATGCTGGATCGACATTTGTGTACAATTTAATCATGTAATGTAAAACTGTGGAGGCAATGTGCAATAAAACGATGAAAAATGTGATTCCTGATGAATGTTGTACGAATACTTGTTTCAATCTAAATTTCTTCACATTTTTCATCGTTTTATTGCACATTTTCTCCACAGTTTTACATTACATGAATAAAGTGTACACAAATGTCGATCCAGCTAGTATTATTAACTGGTTTGAGGGAAAGAGACAAACGGGAAAAGTCTGAAGAAAAAATTGACTGTCACCACCAGGACTCGAACCAGGGACCCTCGCTTGTAGCCAGCGATGCTCTAACCACTGAGCTATGGTGTAGTCGTCATCCAAGCAGAGACCGTTTTCCTCAGACTTCGTAACTCACACTTCCTGCGAATCCACACAGGCGGGTGGGACAGCTAGTATTAGGCCATCATTTTTTTATATCTATGTTTCGCGTCAGTTCAACTTCCAGAATCATATGCGAGAGGTGGAAAAAATAAAAAAGTTGCAAAATAATAAAAAGGCTGATCAGAGGTGTATGCACTGTACATAGCACAATAGCTCGTGCATGGTGTACATTCGAAAGAAATATCGTACATCGAAGCACAACATCTGGGTTGCCAGCATGAGTAAGTATTCACTTTGGACAGAGGAGGCAACCATTGGTCAAGGTGCCTATGCTCCGCTGGAATATTGTACTCAGACTTCAGCAGCGGTGCAAAGGGCTCCGGAACGACGCATCCTCTCAGCTTAGGCGATCAATGCGGTCTGGTGTAAGCTCATAGAATATTGCTCCCAGATGCCGAACAAACGATTTACCAACGCTGGCCTAGGCTAGAGGCCATTTCTGAATCCCAGCTTCGCCGCATGCAACCTGTCCACACTGGTGACTCGCACGATCGTACACTCACTGTGCATGTTTGATTTTTTTTATTTTTTTTCCGAAAAAATCCAAACGTATGCGTGCGGACGGCGCGAAACATAGCTATAAAAACGATGGCCTTACTGATTGCGGTTATCAAATTGTTGTCTCCTCGCTGGTTGTTAAATTATGGTTTTACTTATTAGTGTTATTTGCATTTTCGCGTCATAGTCAATCAAAGGATTGATAATTTCGCTTTTGCTGAGTGGTGGTAAGCAGATATCAAATATGGATGATGCAGAAAGCAACATGCAAGACGGAAAAAACGGATAAGTATGGATATCGAATGCGATACGTTATGTTAGTTATTGCATGTTGATATTGTGATAGATGGTGTGATTCTATTGCTCCAGTTTAAATACTGAGGCAGTTGATAATCATAATGATATTATGGTATTCGGGGAATATGTATCTAATATTGACTGAGTACGAGGTCAATGTAGGAAATAAAAGCTGAGTAAAAGACCGAGGCGAAGCCGAGGTCTTTTGCGAGGTTTTTATTTCCTATACTGACCAAGTACGAAGTCAATATTAGATTTATCACGATAAACAGTCCATATTACAAATACCAGAACGATAACCTCATGAATCCCGGTTTTATAATTGCACAACCGTTGCACCACCACTTACTCATGCAGTGACAATGCTGCGCTACAATTGTAGGCACCGTTCAACTGCGCAACCCCTAAGCAGTCAAATATAAGCAGTCAATATAGCCCTAAGGAGTGAAATATGCAGGAATATTTGACTGCTTAGGTATGGCAAAAATCTATGGGAGTCAATACTAAGGGAGTGATAAATGATAGTATTTGGATGTTTGGTGATATTACATTTCCAGTTGATATTGATAGGGTCAGTGAGTGTCAATCCAAGTAAAACGGAACGTACTCAGGTGCTCAGAAGCAACGAAAGGATTGGTGATGAGTGGAGAATGGTCCGAAAGAAACTAGGATCTCTTCTTGGCGACGAGGTTGACGTTGCTTGAAGGAAGCAGCTTGCTTCAGCGGCCTTCACTTCGATGTCTCTCTGGAAACGGAGATCTGCTGTGAGTGAGCGTCTTCGCCTGTGACTGTAGTCGGCGTTTGTCCTACCCGTCCTCGCGTACAACTGTGGCACTTGGGGCCTCACGCAATCTGCTTTCCAGAAGTTTGATGCCTTACACCGACGTCAGTTGGCCACAGCGCATCTCCAATGAAGCACTGTACCAGAGGTGCCAAATAAAGGAGATCAGCATCTTTGTACGCCGTGCCAGGTGGCGCCTATTTGGTAACATCTTGTGGCTGCCACCATCAACCCCCACAGTATCAGCAATGGAAATCTTATTCGCAAACAACAGCACCAGATGGCTTGGCCGGCCACGCGTCACTCTTCCCAGCGTGCTGCATCAAGATCTGCAGAAAGCCGGGAAGGGAAGACTCCTGACCCTGGGAGATCTCCATTCGCTCCGGGCAACAGCTGCCTGTCGTAAGAGCTGGAAGGCTCTGCGTGTGGCAATATGTTCATCCAACTAGTTACAAATCAATGTACTTGTAATCCTATATTAGCCCGACAGTGCAAAGTCAAATCAACCGGATGTATCTCCTTAATTTGTTCATCTCCCTATGTTTCTCTCTCTCTCTCTCCCTCTCATTCTCTCTCTCTCTATCATTCTCTCTCTCTCTCTCTCTCTCTCTCTCTCTCTCTCTCTCTCATCTACACCGGTGGGTGAGACGCAGATCTCACTGTAACCCCCACACTTGACGTACAATGTACATCTTATCCAAATTCTTCTTTGTTCTCCCAGAAATTTGAGGTATAATCAACTGGTTGACCTACCTGACGGGCTGTTCAAAGCCACAACCGAATTACAAACCCTGTAAGTCATGGTGGGCATGTATCGGAAAAGAGTTTTTTTGCGTAGTTCTTTCCAGCTGCCTTTGAGGCATCAAGACGAGTTAGGAGCGGGTGGTCTGCATTGGGACGAAAGTGAACTGTCATCAGTGCAGGTGGGCAAGTGAAAGCTGCGTCCAGTAGGTCCATTGTACACTGCATTTCTTAGAAGAGAGACATGCTCTCTTATTGATTATGAACATGGTAGTAGATGGGTGGGGAAGAAGTGAAAAATCAAACTTAGTTCGTAGATACTGTATGACAGAGAGAACAAAAGAGGAAAGGGAGAAAACGAGAGAGGGAGAGAGAGAGAGAGAGAATGAGAGAGAGAATGAGAGAAAAAAAAGAGAGAGAGATAGAGAGAGAGAGAGAGAGAGAGAGAGAGAGAGAGAGAGAGAGAGAGAGAGAGAGAGAGAGAGAGAGATAATGAGAGAGAGAGAGAAGGAGAAAGAGAGAGATTGAGAGAGAGAGAGAGTGAGAGAGTGAGAGAGAGGGGCTGGGAGAGGGGAGAGAGAGAGAGAGAGAGGGAGAGAGAGACACAGAGAGAGAGAGAGAGAGAGAGAGAGAGAGAGAGAGAGAGAGAGAGAGAGAGAGAGAGAGAGAGAGAGAGAGAGAGAGAGAGAGAGAGAGAGAGAGGGAGGGAGAGAGAGTATGACAGAGAGAGAGAGAGAGTGTGTGAGAGAGAGAGTATGAGAAAGAGAGAGGGAGGGGGGAGAGAGGAGGGAGAGAGGAGGGAGAGTGAGTTGTGGGGGGGGGGGAGAGAGATTTCGAGACAGAGATCGATCAGGATGTGAGAGTTGCTGACCGAGTTACTGCTCCGCTGCAAATCACCTCTAGATGTAGTGCACGTGTGAGAGTTGCTGACCGAGTTACTGCTCCACTGCAAATCACCTCTAGATGTAGTGCACGTGTGAGAGCCTGGAAGGTTCGCTTTCCACCCTCAGTTCTGACGCTGACGGGAAGAGCATTCCACTGGACACTTGCCACGAACCGGATGGAACGTAGCCCCCAAGGGACCGCGGAGAAAAGGCACACATAGCAGATTGGACTGCTGCCCTCAAGTTGCCCGGATGTTGCTGGAGACGCGAACTGGAGCAGTGCCTGTGAACATCTCCTAAAGCAGGGGGCTAGCTTTGTGGTGGAGGCACCGATGAACTAGGACGAGAAACTTTTGATTTAGCAGTTGCAGTAGGCTGGGGACACCAGCAGGGATAGAATAGGAGCTGTGGTCACGAGATTACGCTGTTGGAGGGTTGACCGTAGACCCGTCTTGGAGAGTTTGGAGACTTGATCAAGCAGGTGTGCGCTAAGTCCTGAAAAAAAAACCGATTTGAACCATAACACAGCTGGGAAAGGATCATACTCAGAAACCATGTTCGCCGGGGAAGCTAACTCAGTCCTCGTCCATGCCTCCAGAGCTGACCAATTGTTCGCGCTGTCTTGCGACCA